ATCTCAGCTGCAAACTGCTCAGCTCTGCCCAGGCAGTGCTAGAGCAGCCATACACAATTCATAAATCAGAGAACGAAGCCGTGTTCCCATAAACCCGCATTTATGGTCACTGATATTTACATTTTATACCATTTTCATGTGTCATGAAATCATCTTCTTTTGATTTTTTTTCTTGGACTGTTTAAAAATGTAAAACCTATTCTTAGGAAGACAGGCAGAGGGCTGCATCTGGCCTGCGGGCTGCGGTTCGCCCATCTCTGCTCTAGAGACACATGAATATTTGTGGTTCTGCAGAGTGCACGCTTTTATGCCCTCCTGCCTTGGTGCTACCTGGAATGCCTCTTTCTACTGTCCGCCTGGCATCTTTTTGAGGCCCATGGTGACGTCATTGCCACTATTTTGTGGGGTTTTTTTCGCGTGTGTGGCTTTTCGTAGGTGCCTCTCACAAAACTGGGCCTTTAAGGGCCTCAATTATAGCTCTTATCATGCTGTACAGAACTTACAGACTTGTGTCTATTCCTCTCTTTACTCACCTGTTCTTGAGACCAGATGGTGGTCTGCCTGCACTCATCTCTCTATGCTGTCACGTGGTAGTGCCACACAGACAATGCTTGTTAAATTACACACCATTGCCCACCTCTGACAGCCAGCTGGAGGCACAGCCAGACTAGAACTCAGATCCCCTGATACTACGTGGCATTAGTTAAAATTGTGTCTGGCCACAAACAACCCTAAATTCTGACTGGGCTGAGATAGGAATGGAATGTGCTATGTTGTAGGTTATTTATGAATTTAATTCATTGTTTGTTTTCTTTGGGATGATATACCCACCAATACAATTATGAGTTGGTAATTATTAGCTCAGAAATGATGCCATACATCACTGAGACTCGGATGCCACAAGGCTGAGCACAGGTGAAACGGGTCCTGCGCTGGTGACTCCCCGGGTCCACTCTCAGATGTCCCTGTCCTGCTCAAATTGCCCAGAGGCTTACCTCCGTGGACTGCCAGAGAACCAGGGAGCCCACTGGTGAGGCAGGGCAGACTCTCTCGCACAGAGCAGACCAGGGCAGGGCATGTGGGCCCTTGCTCTTGGCTTCCTGTTGGGTTGGCAGGTGGGAGGCACAGCAGGCATGAGGGAGGGAGGGAGGAGAGGTCTGGTTACTGATTCCTGGGGCTCCCTCCTCCTGCACTGGTTACTGATTCCTGGGGCTCCCTCCTGCACTGTAGGTTGGCAGTGGTCAGGCTCCTGAGTTCTGCTATGCAGCCCCTTTTCAATGGCTTTAGCACTCACTGCTCCCTCCCTGACCCTTTCCCTAGCCGAAGGTTGTCTCTGTTATTTAGTCCCTATGGATTCCTTTAATCCCACCCTTACCTCTGTCACTGGCCCCTTCCTAAGCCTTCAGTTAAGCCGTGCAGTATGCCTTCTGTCTCCTGCTAGCCCCCTAACTCAGCCCTGTCTTTGCCACTCTTTTGGACTGAATCTACAACCAGGAAACCATAGATTGGTCTTTAGTAGTTTTTCATTCCTTTAGAGCAGTGGCTCTCAATCAGGAGCAACTTTGCACACAGGAGACACTTGGCAATGTCTGTAGACGTTTTGGTTGTCACGACTGTGTGTATGTGTGTCCGGTGCCATTGGCATCAGGCATCTAGTAGGTAGAGGCCTGGGATGCTGCTCAGTATCCCACAGTGCACAGACAGTTCCCCACAACAGATTCTCCAGGCCACATGTCAACAGTGCTGAGGTTGAGAAATCCTGCGTGATGGAGTCACCGATGGAATTACTAAATGATTAGTGTAGACCAGTGATGGCGAACCTAGGACAGGCGTGTCAGAGGTGACACGCGAACTCATTTTTTTGGTTGATTTTTCTTTGTTAAATGGCATTTAAATATATAAATATAATAAATATCAAAACTCTTTGTTTTACTATGGTTGCAAATACCAAAAAATTTCTATATGTGACACGGCACCAGAGTTAAGTTAGGGTTTTTCAAAATGATGGCACGCCGAGCTCAAAGGTTCGCCGTCATTGGTGTATACCCTTTCACTACGTACACCCATCCTGGAAAGCGCTATAAAAAGAAGGTCCTGGGGAGAATCATTTGTTCCCACCATCAGCACACACCTCCGTATGTAAGCATGCTGGATCCTGGGGAACACGGCCGCCGGGTCCAAGTCACTGCTCCAACAAACCAGCGATGAGAGCTTGAGCCAGCCACGCACCCTCTCTGCAGCTCTCACCCCTCACCTATAAAGTGGTGCTGATGGCGGTCCCTACTTCACACAGCTGCTGTTAGGATGGAATGAAGCAATAAATGCCACAAGCCTGCAACTAGGAAGAAAGCCCTTTACAAACACTGATACACTCAAATGTGCAAACCCGTCCCAGGCTGTGTTGAGGGAGACAGAGAGAGGATAAGTCAGGGCCTACTTCTAAGAGGTTCATAAGTGAAACAGTTTTTTCAGATTTCAGGTTGCTCCCTGCTACAGACTTGTGAAATTCTTTTAGAGGTTGCATCTAACATTAAAAATTGGAAAAGACATTTTCAGGGTGCCTCACGTTGAGTCAGGGTAAATACCACTTAGTGACATTTTCCTTTTAGTTCTACAGATATAGTGTGTACTGGGTTGTGATGGAAAATTTATTTTTTTTTACAGTGGAGTGAGATTAACAAAATAAAGTTTAAAAGCTACCAGTCAAATAGAAAAGGCAAGACACCCAAAGTGCTATAAGTATAAGAGAAGGTCCTATGATTTTGCAGAAAACTTACAATAGCCTGCGAAGTCCAGCTTCGCCACTTACAGGCTGTGACGTGTGTGTGTGTGTGTGTGTGTGTGTGTGTGTGTGTGTGTGTGTGTGTTTTGGGCTGGTTACATAACCTCTCTGAGCCTCAGCTCCACCGGCTGAAAAATGGGAATTAAATACATACGTGTTTGGGGGAACTCTAAAAAGGCAATGCACACACAGTGCCTAACACAGGGCCTGGTGCACAGTAGGTGTGCAACCTACGTGTGCTCCTGACCTCCTAGCCTTCCGGTTTGGGTTCTCACTGCTCACTGTCTGGCATCAAACCTTAGCTGATGACCAAGACAAATGGACCCTGAGTAAACGGAAATATGAGAAACACCCAGCACCTATTTAATCCGATGAAATGACAACATTCATCTCTGCTTGTCTATTTTGGGAAACCCATGAGAAGGTCCGGACAGGCGCCTCACTCCTGCAAAGGTTTCTTGTTTACTTTGTAAATATTTCAAAGATGTCCTTCTACCCACGGCTGAGGCAAGGAGGGCGCTCACCAGAGGTTCACTTTTGAAGGGAACACTCTGCCTCTGGTGCTGCTTTTATCCCAGTTTCTAGCCAGAAAGCCTGGCTTGGGCAGGGCTCCGCTCTGCCAGTGCTGCCTCTGGGGTGGGCGGGGTGCTGCGCTGTGTGGCTCGAGTGGGGCCAGAAGGGACAGCTGCCCAGATCGCCACTTGGTATCAGTGGCTCCCTCTCAGCACAGGGCAGTGATTACAGTTCGCTTTCACTCTTCCCTCGGGCCCCTGGCATGGTCACCGTGTGCCCACTCCCTTCCTCAGTCCCTCACATCGAGACCCTCATCACCAGTCCTTCACTCAGTCCCTCACTGATTCCCTCAGTCCCTCACATCGAGACCCTCATCGCCAGTCCCTCACTCAGTCCCTCACTGATTCCCTCAGTCCCTCACATCGAGACCCTCATCGCCAGTCCCTCACTCAGTCCCTCACTGATTCCCTCATCCCTCATTCATCCCCTCACTCACTCCCTCCCTCACTCACAATGCAAGTCCACTCCTCTTTTTATTCCCCCGAGCCTCCTAAGGGCTGGATCCTTAATAGGTGCACAATCCAAGTTCATTATGGAATCAATTAGAACCAACATCAATTTGTAATTGGTAACAGTTAAAGGCTTAATGAGCAAGTTATGTAGCAAACCACTGGTGTTTAGCTCTGTAAATTGTGTGCACTGCGAATAAACTCAAGGTTGAAAGGAATGTCCTCCCATATGTCCCTTGCAGTTTGAATCTCCTTGGGTCCTAGAGAGCTCCCTGCTTTGGGGTTCACCCACTCCTCTCTATAGGTGGCTCTTGGGGTTGGAAATTCTCTATGACTGGAGTAGAAATCTGCTCCCTGCATTTTCCACCTGCCATTCCTGGTCTGATCTCTGGCCACTGACACCTCCTGAGAGATTTGAGCCTCTAAGCGACAGTGCTCCCTAAGTTATGCTGCCTACATGTGAAATGCATTGTGCTCTACGTCAAATGAGAGAGGGCTGACATGTGACTGTTCTCCCACTTTGCACTGGGATAGGCTAAGAGGGCGAACTCTAGATTTAAAAGGCAGTTCAGATGGCCTAGGGAAACTAGCTTAATTTCTCTGTGCTCCGTTTCCTTGTCCATAAAATGGGAATGGTGACATTTAATCCTCATCATTGCTCCCAGGGCAATGATGAGGATTAAATATGATGATGCTGATCAAGTGTCTAGCACGATATTGAGTGTTATGAGTAGCTTGGCCTGCAGTGGGGCGACTTGGCCTACACATTTGAGAAATGTCACTCCCTTGGGCCACAGACCGCAGAGGCAGATGTAGAGATGCAGTTATACAGATCTCCGTGTCTGCAATAAGAACAGGACCTCAGCCCTGGCCAGGTGGTTGGAATGTCGTCCTATATACTGAAAGGTTTGATCCTTGGTCAGGCACGTACAGGAGACAACCAATCAGCGTTCTCTCGCACATCGATGTTTCTCTTTCTCTGCCCCCCACCCCCACCCCCTTACCCTCTCTCACTAAAATCAATAAGCATATTCTCGGGTGAGGATTGGAAAAAAAAAAAAAAAAAAGAAAAGAACAGAGGAGAGTATGCCTTGAAGCCACATTACACACCAGACCCAGTTTGGGACAGGGTGAGCTTGCCCTTGGTATCACGTCTGCCGCCCACCGAGGACCCGTGGCCGCCCCGGCCTGCCTACCTTGGTACTGGGCGCTGAAGCCACGCTGTCGGTGGTTGCCGTCGGAGGTGAAGTGCAGCCGCAGCCAGTTCTTGCTGCTGATGACAGGGGCTGGGAGGCTGGCTCCGGTGAACCTGTGGGGACAGGAAGGTGGCAGGGTCAGGGACCACAGCTGGTTGGGACAGGGGAATAGGCATCCAGGAGTCTCCCCACTTCCCATGCCTGCTGGGGCCTCCGCCCAAGCCTGGAGCAAGAAGGGAGGGCTGTGCAGGCCCAGTGGCCTCCAGTAGACAGGGCCTGAGCTGCTGGAGGTGGCTCCTCCATGGGCCTTCCCACTGCCCGGTTTCCCTGAGATGTCCGAGGAGGGGGTGGGTCCTTTAGGTCTGGAGCAGAGGTCCAGCTCCCCAGCAGAGCACTAGCCTGCCCCCCAGGAGAGAAATCAAGCTCCCCCAGCATAGTACCCCCCTGCAGATGTCCACATCACCCCAGGAGAGACTCAGAACCCCCAGTGCAAGGTCAGCCCCATAGAGAGAACCAGTGTCCCCCTCCCCAGCAGTGGCTAGTGCCCATTCCCAGGCAGAGGTTCAGCTCCCCCTGGCAAGCCCCTGGGACCTGCAAGGGGTCAGGACAAAGGGCTGGGGACACCACTATAGACAGTGTGGCCCTTCACAGGTGTGAGAGCCCATTTTGGAGTCACTAATTAGGCCCTGGGTCTCCTCTGGCTCCTCTCCCTGTCCCTGCTGGCTCACCCTTCCTCCCTTAGGTTAGCCTCCTCAGGGTTCCAGCCAGTCCAGTTCAGTGGGCGGGACACCAGGATATCCCCCACTGTCACTGGTCACTGCCCTGGCCTCTTGACCAACTTCCATCCTGAACCAACTTCCAGCTCAATCAGATCTTTCCTCCTAGAGTTACTCAGAGCACAAGAACCTTCTGTGGCTCCCCAGTATCTACACAAGACTGGCCTTCCAAACCTTCCCCCCAGTCCTCTGCTTGAACTGGCCTCTGCTCCTTGCTGGCCTTCTCTACCACACTCAGCCTAAGAACTTGATACCCCTCCTCGCTCTGCTGACTCTCCTGCACCCTAGATATCCCCCCATCTTCTCTCCGCTATCTGACAGCCTGCAAGTGGCCAGGTGCCCAGTGTCTCCCTCAGTTCCTCCTGCGTACAAATCAGGCACGAGCCTCCTCACGCTTCTCCTTGGGCACAGTCACCCTCACTCCGTCTGCTCCCACTCCCCGACACTGCCTCCATCGCCTGAGCGCTCCATGAGCGCCTGTTCTAGTCTCTGCCTTTCTGCCAGGATATACCCCCTGCCACCCTCACTCCTGCACCACACGTCACCATGATGACTCTGGGAAGCGCTCAGATATCACAGCCCCAGGACAGCCTTTCCTCTTCTTCTTGGCTTTGATGCCACAGAGATTTTGGTTCAAATCCAGGTTTCACCACTAACTACCAATGTAACCTAAGACCAGATACTGAACCTTTCTGAGAATGAGAATAAGAACACCAGCCCCCAAAGAGTTTGTGGGAATAAATGAGAGACATTGTGGGTAAAGAACCTAGCCTAGTACCTGACATGTATTAGCTCAGTCAATATACTTTTCCTTGCCCCTCCTCTGTGATGCCAGTGTTATTCAAATTATAACTCATTTTAGGTGTGTGTCTCCCTCAGATAACTCCTCAAAGATGGCAGTGTAGTTCTGTGGCAAAGAGGGGTGGGCTGTGGCAGGATCAGCTGTGTGATCTTATAAAAGTTACTTAAGCTCTCTGTGACGTTCTCTATAAAACAAGGACAATAATAACCCTTCCCTCAAGGGCTTGCAAGGATTAAATGAGATAATACACAGAAAGACCTTAGCATGGTCCCTGGCAAACAGAGAGCTCTTGGTAAGTGGGAGCTGCTATTTTCTTCCACATCATTTTTATTCTTCATCTTTGTTACCAAGCACCTAACAGAATGGTTGGTACAAAGCAGGAGTGTCAGGATTCCAGCAGAAAATAGCTGGCAAGGTCATATGAGAATAATCTCAGGAGTTTAATGGATTCTTCACAAAGCAAATGATTCTTTCCAGAGCAAATGGAGAGAGGTGCATGGACCAAGATCTTCAGTCCAGACTGCAGCCAGTTTGTCCAAATTGCACCAGAAGGGAGCAAGGAATGAATACCTGGAACTCACTCTCCTCCCTCCCCTCCTCCAATCTCTTGCTGATGCTTCTGTTGATCTTGCCCAATTGGAAGCCAGGGGGCAAGGGAGCATACTGATAGGTAAGTCTTCCTGGGCATGGGACAGGAAGCATAAGGGAGGGGAGAGGATCTGGAGGAGCAAACAGAAGAGATCTAGCATGGTAGGTCTCCATTAATAGGTACTAAACAAAAGAACTAACCACAGAGCTCAATACCCTGCATCACTGAGTTTTTACTATAATGAAAATGCTGACATACACTAAACTCCAGGAATATAACCCATATTGTTATGGTAAGAGCTATTATAGAAACCAATTACTGTATTTCACCAGATCCCATTTAAAGTAGTTTATTACAGGCCGAGTCATTTAAGTTTTTTAAGGAGTCACAAATAGTATTGTGGGTTGTGTTTTTTTTTCTCCAGGCCAAATTCAATTCTATCTCAATGACAAAGCTTAGAGGCTATTTACATAAAGGAAGTAAAAAGAAGGAGAAATTACCTGAATAATTCAAAACCAAAAGCTGTTTATTGCAAAATGGGATGAAGGGGAGGGGGGTAGATGGGGGGTAATGGGGTCCCAAGAGCAGGATGGGAGCAATGATCAAGACTGTAACCAGAAGCCAGCCCTGGGATCTGCTTTAACCCCTAACTGTACAGCCTGGCAAAGCCCCAAGGGTCACCTCTCATCTTATGGATCCTGTTGTTAATTCCCAAGGCTTAACCTTGCAGGGTCCTAGGTTGCTCCTACCTCCTTGGATGTAAATGTTGCACATTTAAGAGCTTTCTTGGCATCTATCATAGAAAGGTGGGGAGAGGGGGTTGTGTGTGTGTGCCCTGGCTGGTGTTGCTCAGTGATTAGACCATCAGCCCAAGTACCAAAGGGTCCCAGGTTTGATTCTTGCTCAAGGGCATGTACCTGGGTTGCAGGTTGGATCTCTGGTCCCAGTTGGGGCATATGTTTCTCTTACTTTGATGTTCTGTCTCTCCCTCCTTCCTTGCTCCCCTCTCTCCCGCCCACTCTCTCTAAAAATCAGTGGAAAAAATATCCTCGGGTGAGGATTACCAACACACTCTGCTGTGGAGATGGTGTCATGCTTTATTCAAGCCCTCCCGTAAAAGTACTGATGCATGGAGCAACGGGATGACTCTCAAGAGCAGTATGCTGAGTGATAAGAGTATATGCTGTGCAATTCCATTTACATCCAGCTCTGGGAAAGACCAATCTACAGCGAGACAAAGCAGACTGTGGTGGCCAGAGCTGGGGTGTTACAGACGGCATTGCCTGGGAAAGAGTACAAGGGGCCTTCTGGGCAGTGGAAATGTTCTCTATCCTGAACAAGGTGGCAGTTACGTGCGATGTACACATGCCAAGGTGGCTGCAGAATAGGTGGAAGCTACCCTCACCTCCTCCCAATCAGTGCCAAACCAGATTTATGGCTAAATTATAAAGCAATCAACCTGAATAACCAACTGAAAGCTAGCTAAACTGAAGTACTATAACAAAGGATTTACAGAAGAAGCCATAAAGAGGCTGGTAAGAGGGTGGAGACACAGAAAAGGATGTGCCCCCCCCCCCCCCCACCCGCCCACACACACGGGTGGAGTGGCTGAGAAACCAGAGGAATATCTCAGCTGCAAAACTCCCTCCTACCAGGAGCGTGAGGCTCAGCCCCATGCAGGGCCCCCCAACCCAGAGCAGCAGAGACGGAGGGGCCCACAGTGCATCTGGTGGTGAAAACCAGGGGGATTCAGTCTGCCTGGGAGAGCAGAGAGTCTGCGAGAGACCCAGACATATTCCCAGCTCAAGCACTCCTACTGTTCCAGGACTCCTTGGAGAGTGCACTACCAGGTCCCCCAACTACTAGCGACACCACTCTGAGTGCTTGAGTCCTGCAGAGGGTACACTGGCTGCACCCAGCGGGGATCTTTGGTGTGTTCTTTCTCTGGAGAAGCTTTTGGAGGAAACTCAGTAAGTGCTTCCCCCTTCCTGTGAACATGGCCAGCCTGGGCCCACTCTACAATGTTCCCTCAGCAGACTCCAGGAAGACCAGGTAGCCTCCGATCTGCCCCCAGCTATAAACTGAAGGAAACTGACCCTTGCCCTGACCGGTTTGGCTCAGTGGATAGGACGTTGGCCTGCGGATTGAAGGGTCCCAGGTTCGATTCCGGTCAAGGGCATGTACCTTGGTTGCGGGCACATTCCCAGTAGGGAGTGTGCAGGAGGCAGCTGATCGATGTTTATCTCTCATCGATGTTTCTAACTCTCTATCCCTCTCCTTTCCTCTCTGTAAAAAATCAATAAAATATATATTTAGAAAAAGAAAAAAGAAACTGACCCTTGTACACAGATTGGCCCCTCCCATGCACACCCAGGCCCAGTAGATGCAGCCACAAACAGTGAACAGTATGGTAGTTCCAGACAGGTAACCCAAGGCTGGTTACACACAATTTATGACATCAACCTGTACCAGAACCCTGCCCAAGTGGACTCAGAACCAATACAACCAGTGGTGGCCTTCAGACTACACCAGAGCTTGACCCAACTAGCCACACAAGCAGCATACCCAAAGGGGGATTGTGGCAGGCACAGGACCCTGCTGGAAACAATTCCACTTCGGGGGCAGCCCTGCACAGAGACTCATACACGGGTGATCGAGGTTTATCCTTATAGTCAGCCAGCCTGAGGGTAAACCGCACCACAAAAGGGCCAACAACATTCTAGACTCAACTATAATAGGAAGGTGCACGAGAAACATTCCTGGAGCACCAAGCTCAGGTGATCTGGAAGATTGTGCTTCTGAACCCAACAAGACACCTACATCATAAAGCCATTATAACAAACTTGGGAGTCATAGCAGATCTACTTAATACACAGACACAAAATGGGGAGACAAAGAAATAGGCCCCAAATAAAAGAACAAGAGAAATCTCCCCAAAAAGAATTA